GTGCTTGATGTTCACGGTCAGGGGGTGGTTGCTCGGTCCGAGGTTGCTCGACCCTGGGCTATTCGACCCTGGGATGTTCGACTTGCGTCTGCTTAAGTTGGGTCGCTACTGCCTCAGCAATCATTTTTTGCATCTCGCCTCTCGTCATGGTCAGGGTTTGCTCCTCGACTCGGGGTGGTGGCCTCGCTTCCTGCTCAAGTGGCCCAGGCTGCCTCCCCAAACTCAGAGATGTTACGGTCGACTCCTGCCGTCGACTCCTCCACTCGTGCCCTTCACGTGGCTGGGCCCCCTTGCGTGAGTACTGGGATTTTGACCCCAGGTGGGGTAATAGGCGTTTTCTCCTCCACACGCACTCCTGACGGCGCGTGTGTCACGAACGGTAGGAAGTCGAACACTGGAGTGGCCGCCTGGGGTTGGGAAACGGCGGAGGCCGCTTGTCCGTCCACGTTCCCCTAAAATCCTCGTTCAAATTCCTCTGCAATCATTCCTTATCAGCCATCAGAGACAAATCGGAGCTAGGTGCAAAGCTCTTAATTCCTTCAAGAACTCCCCACAGACGGCGCCAAAATGATGTGTCTGCTCTCAGATCTAGAGTGAACCGGTGGAAACGAGCGCAGATCTGCCTAAATCGCCTTCGAATCGTTGCTGGACCGCGAGAATACCCACAAAAACTCAACGCCGGAGGTGTTTCCAGCGTAGAGCCTCCGACGCTCAAGTCAGTATGTGAGAGAGATGAAGAGAGGCTGCTCTCAGAGAGCAGCAGCTATAGAGGAGAGTATGGAATGAATGGGAGTTAGGGTTTGGGAGTTACCTCAGCTTCTTTATATAGAAACAAAACATTTACCTGAAGTCCCCAAAATGCCATGGCCGACTTTATGTGAAATGTCCAAAATAACCTGGTCGGTTCGCATTCCGTCCACCTATAGTCAACATCTAGATTTCTTCTTATCCTTGGCAGCTCTATTATGATATGTTGGAGTATATTGGAGTCGTCGGAGGTCTCAGTGCCTCGAGGCGTCATGAGTCGACTTCGGGTATTGTCGAGTCGACTCGGGTCATTTGTAAACGTCGGTAGATCGTGTTGCGTCTATCCATCTCTCTGAGGGAGGTCGACTGAGAGGATCATCTGGACCTTGTTAAGCCGGAGACAGTCTTCAGGAAATTCATAGGAAGAGTCGACTTTGCGAAAGTCGACTCGATGATGTCGATTAGTGTGGATCGACTAACATGCCTATCGTTCGATTGGGTATTTGAGTTTGAACCGCTATGCCACAGTGTGGCTATATGAAGCTCGAATATAAATCAGATATGAACTTAGGAAATTAAATGCTCGGTCTTATTAAATTTATCGAACTTTGACTAATTAATTAGTCGGTCAAAATAAATCCTAACAATGGGCTCGGATTTAAAATCGACTATATGCTCGATTTTAAAATAGACTAGAATAAAATTGGACTTGGGCTCGATTTAACTTAAATGGGCCGGCTAGAATATTCGGGTTCGCTCAAAATTGATTGGGCTCGAATAATTAAATTATTCGGCTTCGATTCGCTTAAATAAAATTTTGATTAATCCAATGCTCGGTTTTAAAAATATAACCGATACTTGGACTAAATAAATCTGACTTTAATAATTAAAATCGAATAAATTCTCCATGGCTTAGAATTTAATACTAATTATTCAATTTAATCTAAATAAATATAATAAATACATCAAATTAGGAAACTGACTATTTATGGAATTAAAGTCGAGCTTCATAAATAGTAACTAATATTCTGGGCGTTACAACCAGCCCACCTACCCACGCTACACATTCTGTCTCTCACTCTTTCACACACACATCACACAACCATTACACACACATATGCACACAGATACATACAACAGTTGCAACAAACACAGTCGACTACCTCGCCATCTCCGACCTCCCACCTATGCACCACCCATCATCATCGCACAGGCACAAGACGCGGTGGACGCCAGCACTCGTCTAACACACAATCCTACTCATGCACAGCATACACATAAGGAGCACCATCGATCTCTGTCGCCCACGACTCGACCTATGCCACCTTCTGCAGCTCGAACAACGTCGTCAGCTAGGGATGAGCGTGGGTTGGTATGGTTCGGAGATTGATAAATCTACAGAACCGTACCAAACTTCAGAGATCCCGAAATTCGATCTCCGGAACCGTACCAAAAAGTCGGTTCGGTTCAGTTCGGAGATTTTTATTTTTCGGTTCGGTTCGGTTCGGTATTCGGGACTATTGGGACAGTTCGGTTCGGTATGGATTTGGTTCGGATCTTCGGAGATTTTTTATTTTTATAAATTATTTTTGAATGACTACCTAGTTATATTTTAATTTTTATATGCTTTAAAAAAAACATTCATCAATAATTCATCATATTGAAGATTTTATTTTGAAATTAATTCTAGAAGTAACTCTAAATTTTAGTTATTTAATTTTTATATGATTTCATAAAAGCAACATTCATCAGTACTTCCTCTCATAAATATTTTATTTTGAAATCAACTTTATAAGTAACCCTAAATTATAACTAAATTTGTGCAACTAGTATTGAAAATTTAAAATTCAAGTAAATATAATATTTTTTCTTAAAAAATATTCTTTAAACTTTCATATTATTTTAAATAATTAATTTATAATAGAAAAAATTCAATTGTAGATCAGGTATTACTAAGCATGAAATTTAAGTGAAGGTTATATTTATTACTATATTATATAGAATCAAAGTTGACATAAAATATATTAATAACACATCTAATGTTATAATTCGGTTCTTAATTTTGGTTCTTCGGTTCGGTATAGTACGGGACGGTTCGGTTCGGTTCGGTTCTCGGTACGAATATTTGTGAAATCTCCAGAACCGTACCAATTATTTTTTCGGTTCGGTTCGGAGAAAGTCAAACGGTCAACGGTTATTTTTCGGTTCGGAGTGATTTCGGTTCGATTTTCGGGCGGTTCTGAATTCTCCGAGTCACATGCTCAGCCCTATCGTCGGCGACGAGAGAGGTGGTGATACGGGCCGCATCATCCACGTCCCCGTCTGTCTCTTCGCCACCGTCGAATGTCGCACCTGCTCCCCCAGGCCAACGACGATCTCGTGAATAAGATGAGTCGATGGCTCTTCATGCGGCAAGCACGTCGATAATGGTGGTCGGAGGTGAAACTCCGGTCAGCTCCAGCCATGGCGGATATTGGTTTACTCCGTCCTGAACAACAGCGGAACATGGAGGATTTGGCCAGAAACTCTCCCGAGATCGGGACAGCCAAGGCGTGGGTGGTGGTCAAAATGCCGAATCTGAAATTTGAAGAAAGAGATTCAATTTAGAAATTAGATTATTTCAAGGGTCTTATATGCAATTTTATGAATTTTAATTATATTACAATTAAGTACGTGAGTTAAATATGTGAATAATGAAAACTTTAGCAATAGCAAATTAATTAAAAGAAGATGTACAATGTATGTATGTGTATGCACATTAGTATTTTATTAAATGCACATTTATGCATTCAAGAGTGCATAATAGCATTACAAATATACTTAATAAAAATACAAAATGTATTGTTATTATATAAATAATTTGATAAATGTAAAACAATTTTAATAAAATATACATTATTAATTTTTTTTTAAAATTGAAAATCACATAAAAAAACGAATGGTCAATAGAATACACAATGATAGTACATGAAATGCACATTATTAATTTTGATATTTTAAATATTATGTATTTTCAATAAAAAAATAATATAAAATATAAATATAAGTATTAAATATATGTTTTCTGATATAAATAATAATATATCTCTATTATTTAGGTTAATTCAGTCTAATCGTTCGAATAAACCAAATAAACGGGTTCATTTTTAATTTGGTTTGGAACAAATCTACAATTGTATGCATTGCAGTTGCACAAATACTGTATGATAAACTGCACAATACTGACTATCAGATTGCACGCCAGATCCCAAAGTAGACCAAAAAATCAAATGTTCAGTTCAAAAATTTTATATTTCAGTTGAGTTATCTATTTTTCCTTTTAAAATGCATATTTCAACACAAATATTGTTCAATTCACTTATCAAGATTGCATATTTGTTAAAATATTAATAATTTGATATAAAATATGATAATATTTTTTTAAAGTGCATATATATGAAAAATACATTTTATTGTGTATATATATTGTATTTATCTAAAAAACTAATATATTATATTAAACAACAAATATTAAATACTAAATATATTCATATAATATAAATAATAACTTCAATTATTCCGGTTTCGATAACATGGTCGGTCAATTCAACTGAACCGGTAGATGATAAACTATAAACGGAGTAGTATTTTAGTAAATTTGTGAACCAATTGAACCGACCAATTAACAACTATGTGTAACAAAATAACAGAAATTTGCTTCCATCATGAAATTATTTAAATAGTACACCCTCTCTATATTTCAATACTAACTCCCACTTAAAGAAAAAATTAGAGGGACAAACACGGTAATTAAATTTCTTTTCATGCATTTTTTTACTAACCCAACATATGGAGAATGCTACCATCCCATTATGGGATGGTTCCGTTGTGTTTTTAAGCGTTGGATTAACTACCCATCACTAAATTACATGTATATCTATGGCTAGAAAACACAACAGAACCATCCCGTAACGGGATGGTAGCATTCTCCCCCAACATATATTCAACCCCCAAATTCCGTCAATTTCGATATGCAACACAGAGAACAACAGATCATATACAAAGTGTGGCATAAATTTTAGAAGAGTTTCTTTTGGTAAAATTGGACCAACTCTACTACATACATGATTCTAAAAACCCAGTTGCTCAAACAATGTAATTTGATGTGATGCAAAAGCATATCGAATGATGTTATAACTATGCTGCATTATGATACACGCAAACATTATTATACGATACACACCAAATGTCAAACGGGCCTAGAAAGGAGCGAGTCACGATCGCACTCTCGCAAGTCGGGCCCTGATCTTTTCCATCTCTTCCTCCTCGTCGATATTCTCCTGTAATTTCAGACAAACATTTTAAAACAAATAAAATAAAATGAACGAAAAGGCAACGAGGTATGGCAGCAAAGATAGCAAACCTCGACATCTTCGCTTGTGGCGGGCTGCTTTAGCTTCTCATTCCTAGCAGCTTCCGGAAGCTGAGCAGCAGTCTCGCCAGCTATAGCGGTCAGGACCTTCTCGATTTCTTCTTCAGTTTCCTCCTCAATGTCTTCTGAGTCGAGTGCATCATCTACAGCGTCATTAACCATCTCTTCAATAACACCGGCCTGAAAATGACGGTAAAAACGGGGGAAAACTAACTTTAGATATATTATCAACAAAAATGGTCGATTACAGTTTATAAGCACAAATGAAAAACCTAAGATCACAAACACAAGTAAATGACTCTTTAAATAAAAAAAAATAAATAAACAAGGATATCATGTCTTGACGTGTTTATTGTGCTAGCCCATAATATGAACACAATAGTCCCTCCAAAAGCCCTATAATTTGAAGGCACATCTTGTAAGCCAATCATCAAGTGTCTTAAACCCTTGTAAAATTGTGGCACCATCATAACCACCGAGATTGAAAAGTGAATTTAAGTTTCTTGTAGTAAGGATAACTGCAGGGATTTTTTAACTCACTCACCAAAATGTCCTATGTGAGCAAATGCACTATAGATTTACTAAATGTATCAGGTCCCGAGGACTTCCATCCATGTAGACATAAAACTTAGATTTACTATCTCGGTCCAATTATATATTTTCACTCCAGCAACTTTAGCCATACTTTATTCAACAACTCCATAAAAATCATCCATTGTGCTAGCAAAACTACTGCGTGGAAGTTCCAAAAGGCCTACATTATGTGCTAGGGAGGGGACAAACCTGCTAAAAATAATCATCCACCCCAAACAGAGGCGGATCCAGAAAAATTATTCAAGGGGGGCTGTATATTTTTATGTTGTCGTACATGACACATCGAATAAAAAAAGACAAAGTTTCATTATAAAATAACTAAATAAGTATACGAGAAAATATATATCTTCCAACCTCTGGTACCACTAATTGTGCTCTATGTTCTGTCACAATATTAGTATTTCCTCATATTTCACTTTCAACAAGATACTTAAAGAATTTACAAGAAAGTCACCTTTAATTTTACATCAAACTTTGTATTTAACAATAATATTAGCTAAACATGCACGCTATATGGTACACACTAGAAGAGTCAAAATCAATCACATTTCATATTTAAGTATACCCAAGATTACCAAATATTTAGTATCGATAAAGGAATTGTAAAGATGTATCTTGAAATTGAAACTAATTAGTATAGAAATTAATGCAATAAGGAGTACTATTAATGTTGTTATTTAGTTACTGCATTTTTTTTTTCTAATACACGTGTAAGACTCCTTTTGTTTTTGTTTTGATTCATCTATTTTTTATCATGTTAATTATGTGTATTTAATATATTATATCATATATATACTTAGTTATGTCCGTACGCCACTGCACCCAAACACAGAAAAATTCTTTTAACCAACCTTCACCATACCAGATGCATTAGCGTAATCAGAATGCCTTTCACATTCATCCCACAAGTTGCAAATAAAAATATCATGCGTAGTAATAATACACGAGAAATGCATGTTTTTTAACAACATAGAACAAAACCTATTAAGGAAATGCATAATAACGCAGGGCCACCTATATATAATTTTCAGATTAAATAGTTTTTAGCCCTCATATCAAATTAAACAGACATGAATAAATGATAGCTCTTGATCACAAGTGAAGTGAGCACGTAGTCAAGTTTTACACATATAGAGACCACAATCTATGAGGACATGAGCAGAGCTTATAAGCTCTTGAAAACATTTATAAGATGTGTAGCGTATAGGATGTTCAGGACTGTTGTTATTGCTTTTGTATGAAAATATGTCATTATAAGATACATCAATAGCTAATATGTGGTTTAAGAAAAACTGGAACATCCCATCTTTAAAGGTGCTATATTTCACCTCCTATTATATTGATCATTTTCATCACAAAACTGCAATGCTCTAGCATAGCAACATACAAACTCTCAAGTATTATATTTCCCGAACATAATATCGTGCTATTTAAATTAAAATATACTTCGCGCTCATGAGGGGTTTTTAATAAGCTTAGCCAAAGACCCACTTAACCCAACAGCAAGGGAATATCGGCATTCCCTAGTTCACATAAAACCAAAAAATTACCTTAATCATTTCTCTACTAAATTCTTGCATGGTGACTGCCATTTGTGGAGCCTTCATAAGGTTATTGACAAGCTTCATGACTTCGGCACTTTTCGACAAATGTCCCACAGTTCGAGCAATAGCTGAAGAATCAAAACAAAAAATCATCCAACATAACAATTTAGCACAAGGCTAACACCATGGAAAGTAGTAAAAAGGTCAGGAAAACAGGAAGAAAGAAACAGAATGCAAAAATTACAACACCAGAGGAGAAATGTCACCCTCTTTCAACCACAAAATTAAATAACATGAGAAAAGTAATATCAAAATATTAAAAGCACCTTGCCTACACATCAAACATAAGCTCAATACTGAATGTTTGGAAGAAAATGAACATGCTCACTCAATTCACTTGAAAGACTTCACTTTGAAAAGTCTCACAGGTTTCTGTAATGCAAGTGGTGTACAAACAAACTAAGCAGCAAAAGGGCAGTAAAAAACTGTTTGGTTCCGAGTTTAAGACAACATGAAGTAATACAGACAGAGGAATCTCTAACTAATCACACTTCAGGTATCAAAATAAGCAGATAACATACTGTAAGGATCAAGTGGCTGGACCTATTTTTTAGAGTAATTATGTAAGCCAGTTTAATCAGATGAGTTATTAAGAATAGGACTCAGCCCACATAAATGAACTTGTAGAGGTCATGTAACCAAAGCTCGTCAGCTATGCACATTGTAATGGAAATAAGAACAAAATACGCATATGTTCACCCATGAGATCATGTTGATCCTTGAGCACAAGTTTTCAATAACTTGAAATAAACAGAAGTTCAAAATGTTATTAGTATATAGGATCCATTTTCACAATCAGTGTTAGAAAAGAAATCTTCAACATCACCAAGAATAGAAATATTAAAAATTGAACTAAGAGTCAAATACCAACACTCTCTCCAAGATGCATTGCTACCGAATTTAACTGTGCTTTGTTTTCATAGAGTCGGTTCACTGTGTTCCTTGATCTCACTATTTCTTTTGCAAGTGCCTGCGATAAGGGATGTTACCACGAAGCGATCATCTAAAGCCTTCATCTTTGAGTTTAAATATGTTCATCAATACAGTTAATCAAGAAAAACACACACCAAAACAAGAAGCGATCATCTTAAAAAAAAGATTCAGACACCAAAAGAAACAAAACTTGAGCACCTTAGCAGAACCCATGTCATTCCTTTTAGCAGCCTCTTTGATTGCTTTCTGCACACTTTTCTCCTCTCTCTGTATATCTAACAAAACCCCATCAACAACAGAAACCCGAAATCTTAGTTGAACGCTTTTAGGTTAAAAAAAAAAAAAAAAAAAAAATTGGGGGAAAAAACATGAATGCAAATATGAAAGACATGTAAGAACATCTAAAGACCTCGGATTTGTCGTTCGATGTTGCGGCATTCTTGGCGGATCCGACGCTGCCAATCTCGTAGCAACTGCTGCGGGTTGGGTTTTGGCTTCAACACATTGATCATTTTTTCCATTTCCTTTGTTTTCCTTCTTCGATTAATGTTTACTCAATTTGATTCCACAGTTTTTTTCCGATCAATACTAGCAACAACAAGGAAGGAGTTTCGATTTCTGCTTATGCTATCCTCTGTCGCGTTGCCAAGTTTGGTCCGTTTTGATCTTCGTATTTGATGAAATTATGCAAAGCTGGAGAAATAACCCCATTCCTCATATAGGTAAAATATTTTTTCCATACGAACTATCACGGTTTTGGCGCATTACCATATAAATTATTTTTATTTTTTTTTACAAACCACCATATGAACTATACAAGTTTGTCAATGTGCCCCCTAAACTAGATATAAAAGTGGTTTTGACTGAAAAAGTTGTTTGGTCACCATATGTGCACCCTAAATACTTTTACAAACCACCATATGAACTATCACGAGTTTGTCAATGTGCTCCCTAAACCACTTTTATATCCGGTTTAGGGGGTATATTGACAAACCCGTATAGTTCATATGGTGGTTTGTCCAAAAAAATAGTTTATATGGTGATGCGCCAAAACCGTGATAGTTCGGGGACAAAGTATTTTACCCTTTTTTATATCTTTTTGTTAGAACTTATTATATTTTAAGTCATAATTAATCTCTTGAACTTTTGGTTCAATTTTATATATTTTATTATTAGGTTTTATGATTACTTCAGTACAAGTATCTATTTTTTAAGAACTAGTTTCGTTTTCTTCATTATTCTGTTTATGAATAATGTAGTCAATTTTAGATCTAAGAAAAGACGAAGTTCTATGTATTTGAAAAGACCTTTTAGGAGCTTCTAGTTGTAATATCGGTAAACAATTCATCTATTTCAATTTTATGATAAGGTTTGAATGATAAACTATGATAACTATTAGTCAATGCATAGTTTATTCTTCATGTTACTGAAAATGGATGATTTCCAATTTTCATTATTTTTATTTTCATGTTCCAACACAAAGTAATGGAATCATCTAAATTGTTGTCTAATAAAGACATTCCAACTTGGTAGTTTAAGTTAAATTTAATTTTACCAAATTTTAGATTTCCACTCTCTTCATTAGTTATTAAAGCATCAGAATAGTTAATCATTCTATTATCAAGTAATCTTATTGTAATAGGAGAATCTATTCCTAGACTTTAAGTCGATTTAAGAATCATTTGTATAGTAGAAACATGTAAATAAGAAATTTTATTCCTAGTTTCTTCTTTTATATCTTTCAACGTAGAAAGTATTTGTTCCTTACAGATAACAGAAATAACTACATTTCTTTCTTTTTGATTTGTATCTATTGCTTCTTCTCCAGAAATAATTCCAAATAATATTTCATTTTTTTCTAGAAATTAAGTTATTTAATTTCTTTATCAATCCTTCATTTCTGAAGTTATGATTCTTCTTCAAAACGTGATCTGCTATTCCTAATTTATTGCATCTATCAAGGCTAGGGATGGCAGCGGTTCGGTTTCGGTTCGGATATCCGCGGTTTTTGGTTCTGC